GCCTCATGTTAACCAGATAGTGGTTTTATGCCTCATGTTAACCAGATAGTGGTTTTATGCCTCATGTTAACCAGATAGTGGTTTTATGCCTCATATTAACCAGATAGTGGTTTTATGCCTCATATTAACCAGATAGTCACTATCTGGTTAATATGAGGCATAAAATCACAATGGTTTTATGCCTCATATTAACCAGATAGTGACTATCTGGTTAATATGAGGAATAAAGTCACTATGGTTTTATGCCTCATGTTAACCAGATAGTGGTTTTATGCCTCATATTAACCAGATAGTGGTTTTATGCCTCATGTTAACCAGATAGTGGTTTTATGCCTCATATTAACCAGATAGTGGTTTTATGCCTCATGTTAACCAGATAGTGGCTTTATGCCTCATATTAACCAGATAGTGGCTTTATGCCTCATATTAACCAGATATTGGCTTTATGCCTCATGTTAACCAGCTGACAATCAGAAGCCATTCTATGGGACGGGGAACCTGCTAACCGGCACAGGTGGGACATTCTGGAGCCATTCTAGGGGACTGATAACGCCTAATAACGTCCATTTCATGGATGATAACATAAGAAGCGGGTGCAGGTTTCTGTCTGACCCTGTTCATAACTGTGTTGTTTTCTCCCCCCACCACAGTAACTGCCCCTGCTCGCTGGCCGCCGCCCTGGCCAGGGCCACCGCGGACAGCGTCCTCCAGGCTGACCTCTCCATCCACCACCTCGTCAAGTCCGTAGAAGATGGAGTTGACCCGTTACCACGTGAGTTCCACCCACGAGGACGCTCTCTCCAACAAATTAGGTCTCTTCCTCTCACTTCATCTCACACATACGCCTGTGAAGTCACCAGGGCTTTGTCCCAGTTCTCTCCACGACATGCATTAGAGGGCGGGAAGGAAACTCACAACTGGAATGGACTGATACATTCATAAATACACTTAATATTACAGAAAGTCACATTTTGCTCAATGAAAACAGTATTTAGCAGTTACATCTGTAAAAGTTGCATTTTTAGTGGGTTTGTAGTCAAATTTTATACTATAGTATCAAATTAATCTAARAATCCAGTCACCATGTCAACAATTTAGTCTAAAATCTTAGGGGAAAAGGAGTSTGTTGCCTCTTAGGAGTTTTTCCTGGGGTGTCCTACTCATATGAGACCATGGGTCAGAACCAGYACTCACTGGAGAAAACTGTTTCCCAGGAGGACACGTCTGGGTTTCAGAGCTACTTCCTCAAACTAACCTGATGAAAGATAAAACTAATTATGCACACGAGATTGATTCACTTCTTAGACTTGAACATTTATCTACAGACATGCAGAGTTTATAACACATKACTCAGATCTGGACCACTGGAGTCTCAGGAAGTGGCTCCGAATCATGTTCTTAAAATGTTTATAGAAAACCTGGTCACACCTCAGGTATGATGTCATAGTAAACTTGTTGATTCTCTTACTGTTTAAAGTAAATGATTACAATCGATAAAATAAGTGAGTATCTTAAATTCAATCAACCACATAAATAAAGCGCAGAGATTAGGCTTCTTAGTGAAAACAGGAACAATAAGTTTGAGAGTAATGATGGTCAACATGCAGCATTATATTCTTTTATCAGAAACACACTTTATGTTYTAGAGCAGTGGTTCCCAAACTTCTCAGCTTTTGACCCACAACATACCAGCAACCTGTGCACCCAGCTGTTGTCGGTTCATAAACATTGTTTTCACATCAACAAGAGCATAGTAACATTATTTATTGTGCTATTTTTGTCCATTTTAATTACACTAATCTTATTATTTTGTAACAACAAAGGTAAAAATATGTTCTTAGTTGTCATTTTTTTAGTGTAATTAATTCAGAAAAAAATTTCAGGACCCCACCTTGATGTTTTAGGACCCCACTGTGAGTCCTGACCCCAACTTTGGGAACCACTTGCATTCTTTTATTTCATGCATAGTTTTTCAAATAAGAATTGGTGGGCACAGCTAACTAAAAATATAGTTTTGTTAACGTTAAACATGAAAACTAAAGTAGCAGGACCTAATGCAAAACCGCTAAACACAATAACTTGTAGTATGTCACATATATATT